CCGGCTCCAGCCACGTGGCCCAGGGCCAGCCCCGGAGGCAACACGGCAGTGGCACCTCCGGCACCAGCCCTGGACCCTTTGGCCACAGCAGCAGCACCTCCAGCCTCCAGGGCTGACCCTGGACCCAACAGCCCACTTAGGAGCCTGCGCCCCAGTGCTTCCTCCGCCCACTGCAGCCTAACCTGCTGCAGGAGAAGGGAGCGCTCTCCAGCAGCTGCACAGGAGAGAAGGGGTAGGGCTGAGCACCTTCCCCCGTGGCATGTGTGCCACAGGTTGTGCACGCCCATTAGTGGGTGGGGCCTGGAACTGCCTCACGGGCCGGATCCAGCCCATTGAGAGGCTTTTGCCCACCCCTGCTCTTGACAGCCTTCTTAATTTGGTTTTTGTGGCATGGGAGAGGTTGGCTGCTACATGGTACTCTTTGGCAGTAGGAAGGGACTATTATAAGCTATTTTGTAAAATACCGGTAACCAGGAGGAGGGATCATCCTACTGAGAAAGCAACAGTCAGTTGGCCGGTTATTCTCAACAGTATTACCACACGGAAATACAGCCTCCTCTGATGGAAGGCTTGACGACTGGTTTGTGCCCATCCTGGGTGGGCACTAACTAAAAGGGAGAACATGTTACCTCCCCATGTGACCTCTCTCGCCCCATCTTCAAACCATGGCCTCCATGTTCTCCCTGTCCCCTACACACTGTAGGTTACGTGGAGGGAGCTCTGTCCTCCCACTATGCTAGCTCCCCCTGACATGTTTGGATGCTCTTCTTAGCAGCCAGGACCAACAGCCACTCCTGGATGCTGCCTGCCACAACATAGCAGCTGCCTGGCAGAGTGTGTCCGTATGAGGCAGCAGCAGGCTGCCTCTTGCCTAGGCTTGGAGGGGCAGGAGTAGGCCATCCAGAGAGCCTGGTAGAACCTCCCCAACTGTCCCTGGAGCAAAGTCCAAAGAAAACCCTGCCAGAGGCACCCCTGACGCACACCTGCTCCATCCTTCCCTAAGCCCCATCCCTCCCTTGAGCAATACTGCCTGGGGAGATTATGAGGCCCTGGCATGGTGGCAACAGAAGTTGCTTCCCCTTTGCACACTCACCACTAGGCAGGAGCTGGAGCAGCCCAGCAGCCTGTTGTGCTCTGCTCCACCTCATCCCTTCGTGTCGTCCTCCCGGCCAGCTGCACTCTGCTTCTCCACAGTGGCGGGAAGCAGAATGCCCTGGGGTGGGACGCTCTAACAACCAATGCCACTGCTGAGAAGTTGCTCACAGCAAGCTGGGCGAAGGTGGGGGAAGGGGAGAAATGAGCGGAGCAGGCTGCTAGGCTGG